ACAGAGAGTGTAAATAGTTATACTAAAACTGTTTTTCAAGGTATCATGCATCCATATCTTCTCATGGCTTAATGTGCTCAGGGCACAAGACTCATCTACACCCTAACAGAACATCATTAACCTTGACCCCAACCCATTTCTAGCACTGCCATTACCTACCAAGAGACAGGGAGTTTCTCATCTTTTCCCACATTCAGAGGAAATGAACAAAAAGCTGAAAATTTTTTCCCACAAGTAAAACCTAACAATGTTTAGGGGTCATTTGAATTTGTTTACATTTTAAAATATCATTGTGGGATTGGGAGTGTACCTCAGTGGCATAGCACTTGCCTAGCAGGCACAGTGCCATGGGTTCAATCCCCAGCACAGTACAAGTAAATACATTAATTAATAAAACAAAACAAAAAGACATCATAGTTGAGAAAGTATGAGATAGTCTTTACTGGGAAATGTAGAGATGAGAATTCCTTGCTGTTGGTTCATTAGATGTTCTACTCAGTAACTCAACCATGAAAAGGTAGAGAAGGACTTGAAAACAAATTGCAATCCGAAAAACTTCACAGACAAAGTTTCAAAGTTAACTATTTAAAAATGTTTGCTTTCAAATTTATTTCTCTACCTTCCTATTACAATTATGTCTATGAGAAGTTTTTAGATTTCTAAAGTTTTCGGTTTATTACTTTTTTTGCAGGAAGTCCTGTCACACCTGCCTCTGCTTCCATGTAACAAAGTTCCGGAGCTACTGAGTGTGGGGGAAATTATGCAAAAAAAGACATTGTAATTAGCATTGCAATTTTATGGAATATTCATTTGCTTTTATAGTAAAGTATCAGTTGGACTTTGACTAAGCATCTCTCTGAGTTTAACCACAAGTCAACTCACTTTGAGTTTCACCCACCAGAAAGAAATATACCTCTCAGTTAAAGGGGCGACATCATGGACACTGTAAGAGCATTTTGTGTTGGCATCTCTAGGTGTTCACAGATAATTCTCTACTATACAGAACTGTCTAGAATGGCCAAAGTATTTATATGGACTATTTA